TATTAGGCAAACAACAATTTTACATATATGTGTGTTACTATAACTGTAGTTAGCATATAAATAATTTTTATAGAGGCACATGCGAGACATGTTATCTTCATGAAGCTGTAGTATCACAGCAGATTCTTCATCCGCATACAATTTCAAGATAAAGTTCCTACTACAGCTAATAGATGGTACAGATGGAGTTTTTATTGTAACATATACCCATACATCCACAATTACAACTACATAAAAAAAGCTTGAATAAGAGCATTGAGAGTATTGAAAAGAAAGAGACAGAATGACAGATAAAGCTGCTGATCCTGAAGGCAACCATTCAAGCATGTGCTCCCTTAAAGAAAAGAATCATAACAATCACAACATAGTGCTTTTTATTCGCTCAAAGATCTGGCAAACTTTAACTGCAGGGACACAGCCTTCTCTCACAATGGTGATGGTGCCTGCAGAAAGAGTGAGATAAGTTAGATGGTGCTTCATAAAACACCCAAATTTGAATTTTATGTGACTTCTTTTGTGTTCACCTTCATCAATCTTCAAGCAGTTAACCACAGTGGAAGCAACAACTTCATTAGAGTCTCCATCACAGAGAACTCCTTGGATCTTGTGTCCGAGTCGACTGTGCCAGAAAAGGGAGGGTAAATGAGTGGTTAGCAATAATCTATTACTAATACTCCACATTGTAAAATAAATAATTTGTCACTTTTCTACAGAAACATTTGCTGTAAAGGGGCTACACATACTGTCACAGGTTAGATCAGTCCACTACTTTGTAAGCTGTTTGCAAGCTCTTACTCAATGACCATGCTGTGGTGGGTGCTGTCTGCCTCTCCACTTGGATTGGCTGAGGTGATAGCAAGCGGTCCAGTAATATTACACAAGTGGCCGGTAACTGTGTGGTCAGGGACACGAATCATGATGCTGTCCCGAGTCCCAACACGGTCATAAGCTGGTCCCACTCCTACACAGACAGATTGAGCTGAGGTGAGTGCTGATAAATGACACAGATTCCAGTAGCACCATATTTACGCTGCACTACAAAGTTTACCGAGTTGGAACAGCCAGTCTCCTTTCTTGACAATGCAGCTGATGCCTCCGGGATACACATTCCTCATAAACTCCCAGAGCAGAGGACTGAAAGGAGGCTTGGCTGCCACCAGCTGTTCCACGCTAGAAATGCAAACACATATGGGCTTCTCGGCTGGTCTGTCCTGGAACAGGTTATAGATTGCAGATTAATAAGCCTTATACATTACAGACACGTGAATATTGAATTAATTTGCCAATCTTTTAACGACTCTTACTTTAATATTGTATATTTTTTCAATGGCCTGAGGATTTTTGCAGGATGCAGCTAGGGCGTACACGGTGTCTGTCGGAATGCCGCATACTCCTCCTTCCTCCAGAATTCCAGCGATCTTCAAGAGACCGCTGGTAAGTCGTGAGCTGGCTATCGGACATGGCAGCTCTGGCGATGTTTCCTGCTTCTTTACCTCCTAAGATAGGACACAGTGGAGAGGGCATGTTTAAAAAACTGACTTTGAGAAGGAGCACAAAGTCAGTTTCATCTCTGCTTACCTTTAGTAAGGGAGGACCCATAGGTATGAGTCTCTCTGAGAAGATGCCGCTCACCAGTGTTGCCAGAATGCCATATACACAAATTATTGCCACCAGTGCAAGCATGGCAACTGTAAAAAAAAACCCCAAAAAAAACAGAGTTTTAGAAATAATCAGCTTGACAGTCTCTATAACATTTTATATCATTTTTAATCAAAAGTGAATCCTATGTTTAAAAATGAGGCTTTATCTATACTTACTTTCCAGCCTATATGGCAGTCGCTGGAGGGTGGAGAGCAGGAAACAGACAAGAGCAACTTCCATCACAGTCGTCAGAAGCAGCAAAACCAGGTTCTTATAGGCAGCTAACACACACAGACACATAAAAAAATCCTTCTTGAAAGAAATAATCCAATCAACAAATCTTCTATTGAGACTAACAGGGAATTTTAATCTTACCAATCAACATGAGGAAACCATTAATGACCAGGAGGGCAATGGCTCCTGCTGTGAAAGCATAAGCTGCCCCTGTGGAGAGCTGAAGCAGGGTACCTAGAAAAAAAATAACCTGGGTTAAGAATCTTTTCTAAATCAGAAAGAGAAATGTCCACACTAGTGTTTGTACTGGCATACCTGCGAATCGAAACCAGGTCCATGTCGCCCATACTCCCACATAGATGGACGAGATGACTGACCCAAACCGACCACCACCTGTGACTTGCAACCTGCTGACGTAAGCCTGGATGATCGCTCCAGAGATCAGGACCCAAGGGATGGTCAGATGAAGGAACGTGGGATTCATACTGGACAACTTAGAATGAATAGCTGACAGAGCTGCGACCCCATTTAAAAAGTAAAACAGAACATCGGAGGTCTGGTCAGTGTGGGGCACCATCTCGCTGCCTACTTGTTGGGACTTGCCCCACTTCAAAGCCTTCTTCATATTTGCAGTGGAGACAGGCTGCTTCCCTACAGGGATTAGTAACTTTTCTGCTATACTGTTGACGAGACGTGCAAAGGTGCCATAGATGGAGACTGCGGTAAACAGAGCGCAAGCTACACCAAAGAAGATGTAGTAACCCTCAAGTGGAATCTGGGGTACTGTTGAAACTGTGACTAGGACAAAAAGCATGTTGTGGATCAGTTCTAGGATGTCCATATTCAGACTTCCCACACACAGAATCAAGCCTGCCACCACAAAGAACCAGTTTCCCACCATTGCTTCTCTAGCAGAGCCTACTTCGCTCTTATTTCCGATCAGAGTAAACGCCACAAACTCACCCCAAGCCTTAATCAGCCAATATGTGGCATGAAATCCAAACTTTGTAGTGTGGTAGCAGTCTTGGCGCAGATGGGCATAGTAGCTAGAGAACAATTGGGCGAATGAGATGATTGAGACCCAGGCAGCTCCTAAACCAAATGACTTCATGTACCCGAAGCTGTAGAAAGCAAAGATGAAAGGAGCTACAGAGTCACAGAAGAAACCCAACGCCATGGGTTCAGCATATTTGGTGTTTTTCTTCTTCTCTTGGCCAATGCTCTGGGCACTTGCTGAGTTTCCGATTCCTAAGAGAAGAACATTAAAGAGGGGGGTCCCAAAGCCTTTGAGGGCTAGACGTTGGGTCAAACCTTTGAGGAGCAGTACAGCTGAACCGTAGATGGCAAAGATCAAAATGAGCAACTCCAGGACCCCGGATACTATGAGAGCCCAGGAGCTTGCTACTATACCCACTGCTTCAAAGATTAAAGTGGCAGTGATGGCCCCAAAAACAAAAGGCATGATGTAATTGACTGTGGCAGAGCAAAATGCCAGGAGAAAGGACAGTAAAATGTAGGGGATCAGACCCGCAATGGCTGACTCTTTTATGGACAGGAAGAAATAGCCACCTGGTATCTCTGCGGAGCCATTCAGAAATATGTTGGTCATGAGGTCAGTGGACAGAGATAAATTGCTTGTCTGATTTGTTGTTTGATTGTCAGAGACACCAGAGTAGATTCGGGTCGCCCCATAACTAGCCCAAAGAGCAGCATAGCCAATAAAGGCAGTGCCACTCAGGTGATCGTATTTTCTAAAGGAAAGTAGCCCGGCAATAAGTTGGCATATACCTCCAATCAGGATGAGATGAACACCTGTTAAATAAAATAAAAATGACTTAGCTAACTCTTCCTTTTTTCTTTTTCCTTTTTTACATTATTATAGCTGATTGTCAAAAATATGTACCTGCAAGTATGTTCTCCACCCCATATGCTTCTTTGCCAGTGTGAGCTGTATTGAAATTCTGCAGAAGTACGAGGAATGCACTGATCCCATTGGCTAGCATGCCCAGTACTCCTGGTTCCCCATAGAAACTGGCAGGAAACCCTTCTAGTGTTGCCATGATAGTTTTGCTGTCAATCTACAGATGTGCAACGAAGCAAACAATGCAAATCATTCAAAACACATTTCAGAATCTGTCTTAATCTTCTTTTTATCTGGCTAATGTAATGTAGTGTTAAAACAACTTAAACATTGTGGAAAAACACATAAATAAATGAATAAAAATTCTAAATAATTATTAATAGATTCATGAGTCATTTTCACATTTATAAAAATAGAAAGAAAAGTAAATTATAATGATTAGAAATATTCCAAAAATACACTATAAAGCATACTGAATCACACAACTTCACTTACATCTTGTTAATTAACTATAGTTAGACTAAAACAATATGTAACTCACCAAACATTTAAGGCTGAGGGACTGTCATTACAAGTTCTCCTAAAGGCAGCAGAGACACACAGAGAACTCGTATTTAACTTTCCTGCTCCAGTAACTGGAAAATTGTCACTGAGCACTAACAGGGAATTTTATTCATATCTAATGAAAAACATTTACTGAATATTTAACAGAAAACAGGATCTGTTAGATCAATTAGATAGTGTCATTTAGCTCATATTTAACTTTAAATGGTTACATATTTTTTAACCAAGTAAAGCTATTTAGCTCATGTAAAAACATCATCTTAATCAGTCCAGCTTTTTACGTTGTAGCTGGGTTACACGTTCCTCTAAATAATAAAGTAATAAAGAAAGTGAAAATAAAGTCCTACCTGGCAGAGAATCTTAGAAAGATGAACAGGCAAACTCTTCTGAAGCAGGAATGACAGTTTGACATAAATAAGGCTTTGCTACATGTAGGAGGAGTTGCTGTAATTTCCCCTGTCCCAAAGCCCTTAGATGTGACATCATCTTTGCACTTTTGACAGTAAAGTAAACCTTTCCTCCTCCTCCTGCTGTGACGATGGTGACGTTGAAGACGTTGCCCACAGTGGAAATTCCTTTTTTTTAATGATAAGTCTTTGTTATGGATATGCCTGCCCTTCCCTGTTCCTTTGAGTCAGGTATGAGGTTAGACTATATAAGGCAGGTATCGTCTCACACTTAGAAGCATCAGCATCCCTGACAAAGTGCTGCTGGTAAAACTGCTGCATTGAGAAGAGAGAGAAAGAAGGACAGTCAACTTGACAGAAACACCAGACTGGAACCATGATTTCAACTGTAAAGGTAAAAGTTAAAAGTTATTTTTGTATTACTATTTTTAGTAGAAAACATTATAGTCATAAGTCCAATCAACTTAATTTAATTAAGTTAAGTCTTAATTTAAAATTGTCTGGCAGACTTAATTCAGTCTAGTAAATAAGAAAAACATAAATCCTAATATCATATTTTTGCAGTGAGTAGTTGTTTCTCTGAGTAGACAGCAGAGTGATACTTAAATGAGCTCTTGGTAAATTTTCAGCAGGTTAGTCATGCTGTCTTACACCTGTTACAGCAGCATCGTGTCAGCACAACAGCTCTTTCAAAAAAAAAGTCACACGGGCTGAGTTCTACTCATTGCAGTAATGCCGATGTCCACTGAGACTTTAACAAAGCCAGAGTAGAAAATAACTGTCTCTAGAGCACGTAATAGATCTGAGATGTTTTAAAAAGAAAGTACAATGCGTGTTAATTTCAGCATGGGTGTTCCTAATGATATTCTGCGCTCTTTGTCCTGTAGAAAGCTATTAGACCTGTGTGGGCTGCCAGAGCAATCCATAAATCTGCTGTGGAAGGTAAAACCTTTGTTGTGTTTCATTCTGTCAGTTCACCAGGAAACATATTTCTCTGTTTCACATTTTCCTTTTGCTTAGTCCAGACCGTGTGTTTTTTTTTCCCCCATTGCATTCTTCTTTCATTCATTCATTCCTCTCTGCAGTCTTGAAGCAGCCAGCGCCCGAAGACACAGTCACAGCCAGTTTTGGGAAGTTTATCAGTGAAATAAAGCCTCAGCATCTATCCCCTGTAGTGCTGCACCGTAGTAAAAGAATGGTGCTGGACAACATTGGAGTTGGGCTGATCGGAAGCACAACAGATGTGTTTGAACTGGCCCTCCAGCACTGCCAGGTGAGTTGGGGAAAGGGATTAAAAATAAAGGTTTCTTATTAATGTTTCCTCCCATATAAGGCAGTGAGACAGGTGAAAGCAGAAGCCTCACCTTTTATTTTATTATTTTTCATTTTCTTTCTGATGATTTTTTTAGTTTAGGTGCTTGTCATATAACTTACAAAGAAACCTGTTGAGGTCCCATTGTTATTTAAAGCTTTTAAACGTTTAGTTTGTGTGTGTTTGTGTGTGTGACTGTGTACACTAAGAGTGTCAAATGTTGCATTGTGCTTACCTGTCTCCGTCGCTTCCCCTCAGAACATGTACGCTCCTGGTGACACCAGCTCTGTGTATGGACACAGGGGCATCAGACTCTCCCCGATACTGGCAGCTTTTGTCAACGGAGTGGCGGTGAGTATGAATAAATGGAACAGATGTGTCAGCATGCACCAGGCAATTTCACATGCACAGAAACCCGTACCACTCCTAAAAAGTTGTCTGTGTGTGAGCTCAGTTTTTGGTCCAATCCTGGACGGTAAACAAAAGCAGGACTTGGTGGAAAATCCCAAAAATTTCCATCATTACATCAGGACATCTGCAAACATTGCTTTTTAAAGATGCCATCAGGGTGCCAAGCTCATTTCTATAGCCTGTGTTAGTCTCAGACAGTAAAAGATTGTAAAGTGAGAGGAGTTTCTAATGAAAAACCGCCTGTGACTGAGTTTAGCCAGGAAGAGTATGCGCACTAAAAATAATCATTTGGGTGTAGAGAGCTAAATTACATCATTTGAGCACAAACACGATGCTTGGTACTGGGTCATATCTCTAACAGCAAGCACCTGTTTTTGCCATCAGCTCAGGAAATGTATCAGTAGCCATCTAATTAATTTTAACATTAAACTAATGCTGTGCTGGGCTTTGATGTCCTATCATTTGATCATTAAAATCTTTTTGGTTCAGACTCACTCCATGGACTTTGATGATACATGGCACCCTGCCACTCACCCCTCCGGAGCTGTCCTTCCTGCTGTGATAGCTCTCAGTGACATGATGCCAGCTAACAATAAGCCCAGTGGCCTGGACTTCTTACTGGCTTTCAATGTTGGCATTGAGATTCAAGGCCGACTACTGAGGTTCTCTAATGAGGCCCACAATATCCCCAAGAGGTGAGTGCTTTAGAGCTCTATAGCTACATTACAGTATGCTACCCTTAACTGATTGCATCATTGATATTAGTTTAGTTTCTCATTGACGATTCTGCATAAATGACTCTGGCTCTGCTGATCTCTACCCTGCAGTTTCCAAGCAGGCTGCGGAGGTGTAATGCACGCTCTATGAATTGTGTCAACAAGCTCTAAAAGGCGTCTTTTCATGCTCATGCGGGGACAGCTGAGACTCTGTGTGTAGTTTTAGCACTGCTTAGCCATGTGGAGCAGAATATGACAGAGGACTCTTTTTGCCATGTGCTTACACCCTCAAATGTGTCACCACATTATGTGCTTGTTGATGACTAAAATGACTAAAAACCTCTTACCACTCATGAAATGAGCTGAGTTACACAAGTGAGAGGCTGTTTGGAAAAACAAGCTTTCACACAGGAGCTCTATTATGACCATTACGATATGTAGCACCCATTTAAAATTTAAAAACATCTAACCAAAGTTTCTGTTTCTTTCTGATGAATTTTCCAACAGGTTCCACCCTCCTAGTGTGGTAGGCACCATGGGAAGTGCTGCTGCGTGTGCACGCCTCTTATCTCTGGACCCCATCGAGAGCAGTCATGCATTGGCTATAGCTGCTTCTCTAGCAGGAGCCCCAATGGCTAATGCTGCCACTCAGTCCAAACCCCTCCACATTGGCAATGCCTCCCGTTTGGGCCTAGAAGCAGCTCTGCTGGCCTCCAGAGGCTTAGAGGCAAGTCCTTTGGTCCTAGATGCTGTTGCAGGGGTAGCCGGCTTCAGTGCTTTTTATGAAGATTATGTACCACAGCCTTTACAATCGCCCGGTAATGACAGCCATATGTTCCTGCTGGAGGAACAGGACATAGGCTTCAAACGCTTCCCTGCTCATCTGGGGATGCACTGGGTGGCAGATGCTGCAGCCTCAGTCCATAAGATTCTCGTTGGAGTTGGCCCTGGCACTGTCTCCCCAGCTCAGGTGGAGGACATCCTGCTCAGAGTCCCCAAATCGAAGTACATAAACAGACCTTTTCCAGAGTCTGAGCACGAGGCACGCCACTCCTTCCAGTTCAATGCTTGCACTGCTCTCCTGGATGGAGAAGTGACTGTGCAGTCCTTCACCCCCGCTGCCATGAGCCGCCCTGACCTGCACGCTCTGCTGAGCCGTGTTCGCCTGGAGCATCCCAATGACAACCCCGCTAATTTCAACCGCATGTACGGTGAAGTCCAGCTAACCCTGGTTGGGGGCGACACTGTGAAGGGACGCTGCAACACCTTCTACGGTCACTGGCGCAATCCACTGTCCAACGACAGCCTGAGGAAGAAGTTCAGGAGCAACGCAGAGGTGGTGCTTCCCTCAGAGAAGGTCGAGCGGCTGATTGAAGTGGTGGAGGACCTGGACCAGCTCAGGGACTGCAGGAACCTTCTCTCACAACTGCAATAGACTTTGGTTTTGTTGGAGTTACACAGTAGCCTAACAGCAACACAAATATTCTTGCACATAAAAATATTCAAATCAAAATATGAAAAAATCTACATGTTGAGCCATCTGACAATTTTAATATTGTAATATAGACATATATTGTTATTATCTCGGTTCATGAAAAAAATCAGTATTTTGAGATAAGAAGTTGCATTACAAAGGGAACATTAGGTGGATTCTATATATTGAATGCTTTCCAGTATTGCTGCTGTATATACAATGCATTAAGAGTTGTGCTTTTCCAAACAATGGATTCCTAAACAGCCTAAAAGGTTGTTGCTTTTAATCTATATGTCTGCTTCTATTGTCATTCAAAGAAGACAATTTCAGTATTTCTGTTTGTGTGTTTTCATCTAAATAAATAAAATTACAAAAAATGCAAAAAGGCATTGTCTGACATGTTCTGTGTTACATATCCCAGAGGTGCTTAAAGAGTCAGCTAGCTAATGATGCAATAAAGTAGAGCCTTACTGGTTTGTCAATAAATGAATCACACCCATTAGATAGTTCAAATACATGTTGTAGTATCTGATTATTTGATTATAAGAAGAAATATGCACATATACTTCAAATGAAACCATCAGAACATCTACAGAGTGAAAGAAAAAGTTGATAGCTGGTTTTGTCTTTCAAGTGTGTTTATTTGGAGTGCAAACATAAAGATGTGATAAAATGCGAAATAGTGCTGGGAAATGCTGTGCTGGTTTCCTCGTTCCTGCTCCTTGAGCTTATGTGTGTTTAATGACGCGTCCACTTCAGTCTCACACAATGAACTGGAATAAACTTGAGTTTGGGTCGTAAATGAATAATTCACAAATTAAAACAAATCAAATTGAGATTAATGAAGAAGAAAAGAAAAGGGACTTTTAAGTTAATCTTTAAACTTAGCTAACAGTACCAACTTATTACCTTTGGTGCAATTTCAGTGGTTTCCCCGATTTCATAAACCTTTGTCTGGTATTCAACCTCTTATGCATTCATATTCATATTCATCCATGTTCTTTCACCTATTCAGTTTAGGGTTGCAGGGTTACAGGGGTGAGGGGATTGCATCCTTGCATAGAGCAAGAAAGGGTACTTACACCTGAACAGGTTGTCGGTTCAATAGGGTCTTATATCACTGATAAACAGTTTCATGACAGACAACTGTGTTTTATTTATGTAAATCTTTCTTTAACTGTGAGCACGCAACAGAATTTTTAACATTTTTGCTTTATAAGACGAAGGCTGGATAATGCTCTTCTATTTTTTTTCCTTTAGTAGCTATTTTTTCCCTTTAGTAGCTATTAATGTGAGGACTAAACATGTGTCCAAAAATGTGCTGATGCAAGCAAATAATTGCCAACAAAAAGAACTATTAGTGAGGTGGGAAAGACTTTGAGATTGGCAGATAAAGACTTACATTCCTAACTGCTGTGTTGGCCTTTCACAACTGAAAAAAAAAAGTTGAGAGTTTGCTAACACTCGTTGGAGCTGATATTATGAACTGCTGGATACGTTTGTTTTATAGTAACACAGAAGCATAGCAACAACACAAATATTCTTGCACATAAATATATTTAAATCAAAATATGAAAGAAAAATCTACATTTTGCATATTGCAGTGCTCAAATATAGCAAAATACATTTTGAGCCATGTCACTATTTTTAATATTTGTAATATAGATGTATGTTAATATTATCTTGATTCATGAAGAAATCAATATTTTGAGATAATAAGTTTCATTACAAAGGGAACATAAGTGGGTTCTATCTAACGAATGCTTTCCTATATTGCTGCTGTATATACAATGTATTAAGAGTTAACAATGCTTTGTGCATTTCCGATCAATGGATTGCTAAACAGTGTAAAAGTTTGTTGGTTTTAATCTATATATCTGTTTCTATTGTTATTCAAAGAAGACAATTTCAGTATTTCTGTTTGTTTTCGTCTAAATAAAATTACAAAAAACGCAAAAAAGCATTGTCTGACTGTGTTACATATCCCAGAGGTGCTTAAAGAGTCCGCCAGCTAGTAATGCAATAAAGTAGAGCCTAACTGGTTTGTCAATAAATTAATCGCACCCATTAGATAATTTAAAAGCCAAATGCATGTTTTAGTATCTGATTTGATTATAAAAACAAATATGCTTGTGTACTTTAACTAACACTATCGGTTGAAGTACAGGTCATAAAATGTGCTGATGCAAGCAAATAATTGCCAAAAAAAAAGAACTATTAGTGAGATAGGAAAGACTTTGGGATTAACAGATATAGACTTTGTTACATTCTTAACTGCTGTGCTGGCCTTTCGCAACAGAAAAAAAAAAGTTTGTTGATGCATCATTCTTATATAACTACAATCCAGTCTAGCTGGTGAAGTGGATAAAAGACAGACAAAGTTAAAAAACTACACACAAATATTAACAGAGAATTTGTGTGTTTGAGGGGGTTATCATATGGAATAAATATCATAAAAAGATGTTATAAAACACGAAATAGTGCTGGGAAATATAGTTTTTTTCCCTCATACCTGGTCCTTGCGCTTATAAAGACAATATTACTGACATGAGCAATAACAATAATAAGGAAATGATAGAAGGAAGGAGCCCTGCGACAGACTGGCAACCTGTCCAGGGTGTACCCCGCCTCTCGCACTATGACAGCTGGGATAGGCTCCATTGTATCACACATCATTCATTATAATTCCATATACACTACACTGTTTCATCATGAAAAGGATTACAGCTAAAAATATCATCTACGATGAGGAAAACCCTTAATATGATGCAACATGAATTCTTTTGTATTGGGACACACTGATCAACAAGTCCGAGAACTCAAACACAATAAGCACGAATACCACAGGTTTAGCTATTATACTTTTTACACCCACATCAAAACAGACAATATAACGGTGATGCAACATCAACCCTCCCCACGCTCATCGATACTGCTTCTGTTGTCAGGTAGCAGAGGGGGTGTTTACAAGTGGGTTATCTGTGTCATCAGTGGGCCTTTTCCTTGACAACAAAACAAAAAAACTAGAACAATGAGCATTCATGCTAAAGGTTTAAAAATCAGTGGAAGACAATAAAAGCAAACGTCACTAGTCAAGAAGATTTTCAGGAACAAGGTGAATTACTATAACTAAAGGCAAACTTCCCTGTAAAACTGAAATGTAACACAGCCCTTGTATATTTACTACTCCATGAACTCTAAGCATGAATTACTGGTGTGCAGTTTTGGGTTGCAGCAACTGGCGTGTCATCTGTAGTGTCTTGTTACAGACATGAAAAGAAATCACACGTTTAAATGCTTTGAATGGGGAAAAAAATGAGAATATAAAAGATGATAATAGCTGTGGCACCACTACCAGAACTGAATTTGTATTTATTTGTTAATAAAGTTTTTTTTTACTTATAACGTCCTTGTGATTGTTCTTCACTAAATCATAGAAACGTGTAAAATAATAATAATAATAATAATCTAAACAAAAGCTAAAGAGGCAAAGTGCATGATGTACTTTGTGCCACTGCCAAAACTCTTGGCCATAACTGTAGCTCATATGCCATGTTTAAATGGGACATTGTGTATGTCTGAAGCAACAATAAAGAATATAACATATTCTTTATTGTTATATAACATATGTGAGCCAAAAAATGGTCTCACTGTGGGGTTGAAAAGCTAGAGAAAGGGCTTACCTGTTCATGAAAGGGCTTCAATATTATGTCATATACAGTTCAGTATACAGCAGTAATTTTAGCAATTCAATATAAGCTGCCAGAAGAGCTCCAAAACTCTTCTGGCATTAACATCAGCACAAACACAGCACTCTGGGTGCTTCATGGTGTGGATTTCCGTGGCCAAGCAGCTGCAGATGCAACGTGAAAGTGCCACAGTACTTTAGTTCATACAGCGCTTTTTTAGGTAGGGTTTTTCAAATGTTTTGGCCATTTCAGTGTTTTGGCTCTTTGATAAATCAACACTGACTACATAATGTCGACATCAGACCTTTTTGTAATTCTTCTCCAACAAAATAATCTGATTAGATGCCTTATGTTAGTGTGCCGTAACTATCGATTTACTGCGATCTCACAGCCTCTACCACAGCACACTTATAAAATGGTTTTAGTACTACTCTTGCATGTAAATAACTTAAATCCCAGGATTTTATTTTTCACTCTTAAACTAATGTGCAGCTAAACACTGCATTGCTGAGTAATGCAGCTGTAGTGCTGCATTAATAAATGGCTTAAGAACTCATAGTGACAAAAACAACACAAGAAATGGTAACAGAAGGAGCAGATATTTTTCTTGTTTCCAAATATTTTATTTAAAAAAAAAAAAAAAAAAAAAAAAAAAAGCAGAAATCCAACAGAGCCTTTGGTGCACTTTATAACCTTTTATTTTCCTCTGCAAAGCAATGTCACAGACAGAGTTATATAAAAACCGTCACAAGCGCCCATTTAAACTTGTGGATAAACATCCTCTGGTAGTATTCTTCACTTTTTCTACTAAACTGTGCCTGCACTGCCTCGTCTAAACACAACTAAAACAGAAACTTAAGCAGAGCTGAACACCCACACCCTGTCCTAATGACTCATAACAGACTCTAAAATAACAGCTTAAACTAAATACAATTATAGTAAAAGCAATAATTTTGCGTTGTATACCAGACTAGAATGAGTTTGGTGGGCTGGTGAGTTGTTTGACATGTCAGTAACCAAGGCCAAAGAAGTATCAAGAAGAGTCCTTTTCTGTTGACTGGTTATAGTTTGACACTTCAATAAGATTTTGGTCAGGATCTCTAAAGTACAGTGAGTTGATGGTCCCCACAGCCCCCGTCCTCTCCACGGGACCCTCTTCAATCTTGACTCCACAAGCCTGCAAGAGGAGAAAAGGACACAGACCATTTTAACAAGCCCTGATTTTTTTCCTAACTTCCTTTCCTCAAAATGGTTACATAATGTGACCTGTAAAATCAAAACCACTTAAGGAATTGTGTGAACTACCTTAAGATGAGCAGCTACTTCAGCTAGAGGGGTTTTGGTTATGAGGCACAAGTCTGCAGAGCCGGAGGTTGGATGCTTAGCTTTTGGTTCAAACTCCTGCCCCCGCTGGTGAAGGTTAAACTTCTGCTGCCCAAAGCTCAGAGCCTTGCGGTTTCCCTTGAAAATGCAGATAAGATGTGAGTGGGTGTACAGAAGACTCCAGGCTCAAGACTCACAATCAAAGCATGCCACCTAGTGGACATTTTTTTAAAAACCATGGCAGTTCACTTTTTCTACTGCAATGCAATTATTTTTCATTATAATAAACAAGCGTATTTAATAGAAACATGCCCAACAGCATTAATAATAAAAGCAATGGGTTTTTACTGTGCATACCTTAAAAGTGACCACCTCCATGCCAAGAACTGAGCTGTAAAAACTGATTGTATCTGGCACACTTTTCACTGTAAGCACCAAATGATCCAGATGGCTCACTTCAACGGGACAGCTTCTTTTGTATTTGACTGTTCCTAGTGTTTGAAAGCTGGTAACCTACAAGAGAAAAGAGAACAAACTTTGATTTAGGAGTTGACTTTGTCGCCATGAATAGAAGTGGCTGTAGTTCAGCTGAGTGCGAACAGCGACGCTCCGTGGTGAGTGTGTGCTTCAGCCCGTAGACGTGTGAGAGGTGAAAGGAAGCACTGGTTTTAAAAATATCGATTTAGCTCTCGTAGCTTGTTAGCCCATATCCTTAGCTCGTCAATATAAACTCGAGCCACTTACACCATTAACCAACTTCACAATTCGGTTCCGTCGCTTCCCTAAAAACGGAAGTCTAAACTGTTTTTACGTCTAAACATCTGCAGCCTGCCAAAGTTTACGGGACAATAGTGGTGATAGGTGTGCACTGTTAGCCCTTTAGCCAGATAATAGCGCATTTTTACCTTCAGACAGCTCTTCTGAAACTGCCATAAACGACCTCCAGCTGCCCGGAGCGCCATCCTGCCGTAATGTGACAGCGGTAGGCTACTTCCTCGTTTTTTCCACTCGTGTCCTGTGAAACATTTACCACAGCACAATGGCCGTACGTTTATATGCTTGTCGAAACATGCAGTTTATACAGAGTGCATGGGCATAAACAAGGACCATTGTTTTTTGTCTGTCGGCTGGGATTCTGAGGGGTAATAACAACACTAATCGTTTGACAGGTACACCTGTGCAGGTACGGCTGCCCTGCCGTAAAGTGTAATCATGCGTTTAATGTAAATAATAGTCTGAGTTTTGTTATTGAGGTCATATTGATGTACTGCTTTCCTCTATTTAAATAAGGACAGTGCTCAGGGTAAACTACTAAGTACACTAAGCCCATCATTTAATGCACACATTACAATGCTCACACTATTCCACCTTTGTAACATTTGCAGTATTGAATTTCAAACAAAGGGGTCAGTTTTTTGGTTTGTGATATAGAGCCTGCTGACAGGCAGGCTCATGATCCATCTACTTGTTCTGATCACAGGGTACTTTAAAGATCTGCTCAGAGGCCCGTTAATAAATGACTGGCAAAGTACAACTAAAGTGCACTTTCTGACCATTTCATTATGTACACCTGTTCAAGTGCTTGTTAATGCAAATATCTAATCAGGCAATCACATGGCAGCTTTGCAGTGCAGTTAGGCGTATGGATATGGTCAAGATCACATGCTGAAGTTCAAGCCAAGCATCATAATCAGGAAGAACGGTATATAAGTGACTTGGAAAGTTGCATTGCTCTTTGTACCAGATGGGCTGATCTGAGTGTTTCTGATAATTGTCTGAAAAAGAGAAAATGTCCAGTGAGTCACAGTTTTCTGGGTGAAAAATACATAGTTAATGTCAGAGGTCAGAGGAGAATGGCTAGGCTGCTTTAGACTGATAAAGCCAATAGGAAGAGGATGAAGAAACTGAGGCTATAAGTCACACAACCTCACCAAAATTGGACAATAGATTTCAAAAATGTTGCCTGGTCTGATAAGTCTCGATTTCTCCTACGATAGTCAAATAGTAGGATGAGAATATGGCATAAATGCCATCAAAGCATGAATCAACAGTTTAACTGCCTCACATCAACAGTTCAGGCTGCTGCTGGTGCTGTAAGTGTGGGAAATATTTTCTTAACACACTTAGAACCCCTCAGTGCCAACTGAACATTGTTTCACTTGACCGTGTCCGTCCCTTTATGACCATGATGTACCAATCTTCAGAGGACTGCTTCCAACAGGGTAAGTACCGTGTCACAAAGCTCAGATCATCATAAACTGTTCGCTTTACTCAGATGGCATCCGCAGTCACTAGATCATAATCCAACAGAGCATTTTTTTGGATGTGGTGGAATGGGAGATTTGCATCATGGATGTGCAGCAGCTGAGTCTCACTGTCATGTCAATGACGATGCTAAAATCTCTTGAGAGATGTTTCTAGCACCTTATTGAATCTGTGCCATGAAGATGTAAGGCAGTTCTGGAGTCAAATTGGGGTGGGGGTCCATCAAGGTGTAACTAGTGAAGTGGCCAGTGACTACAGCTGTGGACGTGTTCATTTGATCAGACAGCCCAGTAAGTGTAGAGAATGCATACTGGCAAAGCATTTCATAGCATAACGACTTGTTTAATTCAGCGGTTAGTTTTCATTTAACACCCAGTTAACATACTGCACTGGATGGATCACAGAACAAGGCCAAAACTAAAGCATGGCCTATGAGGGAACATACATTGTTTACATGTTAATGGTATTCAACATCATCTTGCATTCAAACCTTTATGCTCCACACAGGGAAGTAATAGTTGTGGCTAAGACATCAAACAATAAAATAAGAAATGTGACAGGATGGCTTTAAGTGTTGCTTTTTTTTTTTCTTCCTTTAGCCAGTGTCCCTGTTCATCAACAGTGCTATTAAAACCTACAGAACTTCTAAATAAAATAAATTCAACACATAATGGGTAATAAGTCTTCATTTCCTTACTTTTACAATTGCATGTATTGCACACAGATATGGAGCATTTGCTCGTGAGGCAGGAGGGCACAGTGGTCAAGAAACTTGACTTTCCTATGAAGCAAAACCCAATGAACAATAATGGAGACTTTCCCACCCCAGACTTGGTATATATCAAACCTTTGGGGTAATAACTTAAGCTGCAACTTAAACATGAAGGTGGACTGAAAGGTAAAGAGATCTGTTGTGGCTTGAGCTGAGGAAGCAAGTCTGGATTGCCATTTTATTCAATCTGTGATTATTTCACTCTGCCAAGACCACAATTTATTTCATATTTAATTAATCCAATTGTTAGTAGAAAAAAAAGAATCGAGAAGAACAATAACACATGAAAGGATCACAACTGTGACATCATTTAGTATTAAAAGTAAATGTCCTTTTGCATCTGTGTCATGCCTGCTAATATTTTAGAGGTGGGGAACTCACAACTTGATACTGACAAAGCCTCCATTACCCATAATGAAAAAGCTTTCATTTTCTCATACGATTACATCTGGCATTACAATAATCAAGAAAGTAACAATACAATATTAATCCAAAACAGACTTTAACTTTTGGAGAAAAAAAAACAAAAAAACAAACAAACAAACAAAAACAAAAAAAACTAAAAAGTTCAACATTCTGGGTTTTTTTTCCCTCTGCGAGTTTATGGTATATCCCGCTCAAAACCAAACAAAGAAGAAAAAAAAGTGTTTTATTTAGGGTGAACAAGAATGGAGAGCACAAGTCACACTGTAAATTGCAAAACACTTTGTCCTCCATCCTTTGGACATCACAATCTGTAAATAATTCTGCTGTATACATTGTTAGCACCTAAACATTTAAAATCAAATTCAGAGAGTAATTGCAGACCATCATGACCCAGATCTTCAAACGAGTTCATTTACAATCCGAAACCAATTCAGTGATACAATGTATGATTCAAAATTATTTTACAAGCTTATTTACAGCTAATACTTTGAACTGGTGTAACTAGCAACTGTACCTATACCCAGCTAATGTTATACAAGGGGCCATTCGGGAGTTGAGAGAACAGATTTGAAGTGCCTGAACTACCTGCAAGTGTGCAGCATTTATAATCAGAGGATTTATTTTTATGAGATATCAGTCTACTTGTGCGCATGGCTTGATGCAACGCAACACTGCACAGCCACTACGGGTTGATAGACAGCATGCATCGCTTGTGCCCCACTTTGGACTGCAATAATAATAAATGTCTAACTAAAAACTAAATATTCTCCATCGTCACTGTAAGGAGCACCCCAAATAAAACCTGTTGTCTGCAATACGATCAAACTCACAAATAGTATGAAGGAAATACATTTCAACAGCAGAAACACGTTTTCTCACAGCCTCTTACAGACTTGGGAGATATTGGATTACTTCGGCTGAGACAAAAGGCCTTCAGTCTGTCAAAGCATTACACCACACTCTCTCTGTTGGCTGACACTAGGACAGCCCTGCGGCAAATGGGGCATGTGGAGTTTTCGGAGAGCCAGCGGTCTATGCAGTGCACATGGTACTCGTGAGAGCAGGGAAGCTTACGTAGCTTGTTCCCTTCTGCATACTCTGTTATGCACACACTGCAAGTCTTCAAGGCATCACTCTCTCCAAAGTTGCGCATGGAGAGGTTGTCAATCTGTTCTTTGGTCAGCCCCTGGGGCTGGTCTTCATCATCATCATTTAGTAGGAAGAAGTGAGCAAGTCGCAGGAAGGGCAGGGAGCTGGGCTCCTCCAGGCCGATAGGTGGTCTTGGTCGAGCCCTGCCACCAGTGGGAGGTGGACCAGTGGCAAGGCCTTCATCCATATCAGTTTCAACCGTCCTTCCTCTGCCTCCAGCAGCAACCGGTTGCTCGTCAACATCAGCAGCAGGAGCATCGGCAGGTGTAGCATCTGGATTATGGAGGGCTTCTATTTCTGCAGGAGCACTGGCTCCACGGTTTGAATCTGAAGAGTCAGAGTCAGAGTCCATGAGGTAGCCAAGCTCACCAAACCCAGTCATGATCTGCCGTATCATAGACTGGAGAGCCATTGAAGTTGCCTCTCCCAAACCTGCATCGGAGATTCTTCGGATGGGGATGCGAATAGTGCTGACGTAGGTCCTCACACCAGCACGCTCAGAGCGCGAGAAAGTCCTACGAAATCCACCACGTTCACTCTCATACATAAATGTGTTGTTTGAGTTCTGGGAGCGCGAGCGAGTACGACTGGCAATGCTGTCTCTTTGCCGATATTCACCTGGACGCACACGGCGCACCTGAAGGTCAAGCATAATAGTAGGGGGGCGACGCCCTGCTGCGCCCCCTTCGCCCCCAGAGGCTTCTACCTCCTGAGAGGCAACATTGTGGGCCTCTGGAATGGATTCTGCAACTGCCCTAGACTGCTGAGCATCTCCATCAGTGTGGCTTGGTCTTGAAAGAACATGCTGTCGAGTCCGTGAGCTACCCTCCACTTGAGGTACAGGGGGAGCACTGCTGGAAGAACTGGCACTTTGAGAGATGTAAGAATGCCGTGGATTAGGAAGTCCATCAAGTTGATCCAAGTTGAGAGGGGAGCGGCTCCTGGCTAAACGGGCCCGAGTCCTGCGTGGTTCTGGACTTCGGCTGCGGGGTCTCCTTTGCCCTCTGCGTGGAGAAGGACAGAGTGGTGGCTGCACTGGCAGGGGAGAAGGTGAGGTGGGAGATTCACTTACAAGCTCTTGTGAAACAACCTCTTCTAGTTCAGGCTCTGGTTCCACTATGACCGCCAACTCATCTACAACTGGTTCTTCTACCACTTCTGTCTCCATGGGAACTGGTGGTTCAGCATTTGCCACTATTTCTTGACCCTCTGGAGCTTGTTCTGGAGACTGTTCTGGAGACTGTTCTGGCAATTCTTCTGGAGGTTGCTCTGACCTATCTTCTGGCGATTGCTCTGATGATTCTTCTGGCGATTGCGATTCTTCTGGAGGTTGCTCTGATGATTCTTCTGGAGGTTGCTCTGATGATTCTTCTGGAGGTTGCTCTGATGATTCTTCTGGAGGTTGCTCTGATGATTC